TGGAAGGTCAGCAGTTCAAGACCCGGGTGCCGCATGATGGAGTGAGCTCCTGTCTCTAGTTCCAGCTCCTGCCAACCTAGCAGTTCGAAAGCAAGAAATTGCAAGTAGATGAATAGGTGTTTAGTCATGCTGGCCACATGACCACGGAAACGTCTTCGGACAGCGCTGGCTCTTCGGCTTTGAAACGGAGATGAGCACCGCAACCCTAGAGTCGGATTCGACTGGCTTTCGAGCAAGGGAACCTTTACCTTTACCTTTTAACCAGCCAGGTTCAGGGGACTTGAACGCACAGACCTGCCTCATGCCATCTCAGACCATTGGTCTGTGTAGTTCAGTGTTACTGACTGAGTGGCATTGGCTCTCCAGGGACTCTGGTAGAGAATGGCCTTTGCCAGGCCCTCTGAAGGAAGATGCTTGTGGTTGAACCTGAGAACTTCTCTGTGCAAAGCGGGTGCTCTGTCACCGGGCTATGACTAAAAACTAATCTAGGAAATGTAAAGTGTGAAGATGTGCTTCACCGACTATATTTTATATATATGGAGAGCCAGTTTGGTGTCGTGGTTAAGTGCGCCAATGTTCCCTCTAAGCTGTGGGGTCTTGTGAGCAAAAATTCCTCTTTGTGAGCTACTGGCCTTAAAGTTGAGAGCGAGTTATTTGGTTACTGCATCAGTTAGTTTGCTCTGGAGCCATCCTTTCTGAGCGAAGACAAAAATGTGTGAGCTGGAGGCTAAAAAACTGTGACCTAGCTCACACTAACTCAGCTTAGAGGGAACACTGAAGTGCGCGGACTTTAATCTGGGAGAACGGGTTTGATTCCCCACTCCTCCACTTGCAGCTGCCCATCCAGTCCAACACTCTGTCACACAGTGGCCAAAAACACCAGGGGGCCATCAGGAGGTCCAGCAGAGGGGCCATTTTTGTATCTAGTCTGGTAATTAGTATCCTGTGGTTTAACACCTTGAAACGGGGTACATATTGCCACTGTCGGAGAACTCTGCTGAGCAGGATGGAGTTTAGGTTGGATTGTGTGCTATAGAAAAGAGCAAAATTAAAGTACTATATTTTGAGCCATTTAACCTATTTCTGTGAAGTCTAATATTACTGGGGCATTTGTATCTGATAACACTGGCAGTTCCGGAGGGTCACCCCACTCCTCAACATTCGTACCAACTGTGGGCTGTTTCCATCATGAAGACACACCAAGGGAGTGTAAAGCTGCACAGTGAACACTCCCCCCCTGCTCTGCCAGTTCTTACTATTTCTCCCCGCCCCGCCTTGGAGACCTCCTCTGCCCTTCTTTCCTACTTTATTCCCCCCCCCCCAACAAACACATCAACCTCTGTTTCCTTTCCATCTTATCTCTATCAGGTTTCTGGTTTTCTCCCCTCTCCTCAGCTCCAATGATTCTTTTCTATCCGCTGCTCCCACTTCCCCTAACCCTGCACCTCATGTCCACATGTTCCCAATGTTCTCGCGTATCATGTCTGCCGTTCTTTGTGACCCGTGCGCCCTCGCGTTCGAGCTGCATCACAACGGGCCATATCAATTTCCAGGTCTCAGTAAGGCCTCATGATATCTGTGACTGCTGATCAGCTTTCCATAAAAGATGAAAGGCTGTGGCACAGCAGTATATGAAAACAAGGGAAAAAATTGCATGTGCCCAAATTTTAACAGCAATAATCAATGAATTTAATAATAGTAAGACACAAGTGGAGACCCGCAAGAAACTTGCGGAATGGTTATCCTATTCCTCACACCTTTGCTTCCTCCTGTCTCCCTCTACCTCTCTCACACTCTTT